CCGCCCGCGCCCGGGGCGAGCGCCGCGGGCCGGGCCGGACAAAGGGGGCGGCGGGCGGGCGGGGGCGCCTCGTGGCGCGGGCAGCGGGGATGCCGCCCCGGGCCGGCGCGACCCTCCTTGCGAAGCGCCGCGCGTCGAGTTTTCGGAGGGGCGAAGTGTGCGGCGCAGAGCGCCAGGTGGGCCTCCCGCGACCCTTTCTGCGCGCCTGTGGGCTGGGGCTGATGGGAGTGGTAGTCCGCAGCGCCTGGGCGGCGTGGGGGTTGCCTGGCCGGTCCTCGGCGCGCCACCTGCGTGGGGGCAGCTTCCATTGCCGGTGCTGCAAAGCAGGGCCGGGGTCGTGCTCTCTGGCACCTAAGTCACAGGCGGGTGTGTAGTGGTGGCATCTCCGTGGGGAAGGCTCGGGATGGGGGAAGTTTTGCTATACGGCTTTGCCCGTTTTGGTGGGCGCATGCACACACGGAGGGAATCCGGGGAACTCGGCTCGCCCCCATTTGCAGCCCCCTCATAGGAGAGTCCTCGTGTTTAGGGTCACTGCGGTGGGAAGGGAGCATCCTTGGGTGGTCTAGCAGCATTATGATGCTGCCTCCTGCAATGATGTGCCTGCCTGTTGAGGAAACCCACAAAACCTGCAGAAACCCATAACTGGACTGTTGATGCTGAAGTTTAACGAATAAAGCATTTGTTTTTCCTGTTGTAAGAGCAGTCACTGGGTGTCCGCTGGTGGAAGCCCGGTTCAGCCCAGGATGGCTGCCCATCACCCTCGGGGCTCTAAGGACTGCACGTGTCCAGTGGAGGGTGAGGAGAGCATGAAGGCAAGGATTGTCTCCATGCTTTTTCACCCCTTAAAACACTTAACCACTCTTGCTTTCAGTCCAGCGTTTTACACTGGTTTGCAAAAAGAGGAGCCGGAGGCTCTGCTGGGATTGCTTGTTGAGTGGACAGTACCTTTGTTGTCGCTCGCCCTTCCATCCCAGTGTCTGCTCTGGGGCTGATGAGAGAACACAAGGAGGACGCTCTGAATTTGCGAATCCCAACTCCGACCCCGGAGTGCTTTCCCAAGGAATTCTGTGGCTCTCTAGGAAGTACTTGTACCTGTAGGATTGTGTCCTAAGGTACCATTCCTATCTACTCCCTAGATCTATGGTGGTTAAAAACTTTCACTTTTAATGAGGGTAAAACAGAAGAGTTGAATTCAATAAATCTTCAAAGGACCACTATTTCAGGTGAAACATTGGGCATACTTTTTAATGTGCGCCTGTTTTTAATGTCCAGGGTTTGATTAT